CAGATAGTCTGGAAGCTCCCGACGGGTCCAATACACGGTGCCCTGCGGCGCGAGCTCCTAAAGGGGTAAAACAAAAAGAAAAAACAACACAGGGGCCAGATTGGTCTACCGGAAGGAGCACGCAAGGCGTCTTTACAACCGCGCACTCAAGCGAGCATGACTGATTTCGTCACGAAACAGCACAATCAGCAACAGGATCTTGACAACCAGCATGACGCTAACCGATAGAAGCCAAGCACTATTACTCAGGCGACGACCGTACATCACCCACCAGCGAGTACACATTTGATCGTGTCTGGTGATCCCGGTCTAGTAACGACTGCCTCGCAGTGCGATCCACCAACTCCTGCTTCTCAAACGGAATACATAGCTGGTGAATCCCAGTCATACGCTGACTTGTCGATATCGGTCGCCCGGTGGATAAATGTGTTTGACGGAAAGGAAGTTCGAGTTGCATCGAATGGGCATTGTGTTTTTTTTGTCTTCCTGGCGTCCACGTCGAATAAATCCGGCTCAATACTCAAAGCAACTCGCTCAGTTATTCGCCAAACCAACGAGTTAAAATGGTTTGTGTACTCCCAAATGATGGCCAATCTACGGAACGACGTTGAACTGAACCTGGTAAATCCTATCCAGGAGTACCAAAAGATATTTCCTAAGTGTGAAAAATTCACGACGGTGGATTCAGTTACAACGACAGTCTTTTCTCATTACGACGCGGCACGGAATAAATCGGTGGACCTCCTAGTACCACCAACGAACTGAGAGCCATGGCCCAGCATCTGGAGAACCGATATTAGTCCTAGATACGGACGAGCACAATAACGCGCATGTTCAGCGATACAGCTACAAGACGCACCGGTGAACAAACGGGCAGATCACGAGAGTAGGATGTCGAAGCTCTGACTGACTGAGTTTCAACGGAATATCTCACCCAATGCAAACTGCTGCATATGTTACCCACGTTTCTTATCCTTCGTCACCACGAGAAGCACTTCTATGGTGTCTCTCACGGGGACCTTTTCATCAAATGGAGATCAGAGGGGGATCCTGAATATGCGGCAACATGCATCAACTCTTTTCCGTGGGTTGCTGCGCTAAACCAGCTGGCAAAAGACGAAGTACAATGCGATATGGAATCAACTGATGTATTTACAGACGATGAAAAACAATCTCTTCGCTGTTAAACAGAATGGAAGTGCGTCATCACCTAGACGTCGTCCACGCTAAACTGGGCATTCGTATCGCTACCTTTGAATCCACAGAAAAGGACTGGGAAACTATATTGGCTCAAGAGGAATTTGAAATACATCAGGCCTAAGGAGCTGACGTGTATGTTGCTTTGTGACTGGATGACCAGGCGGTAGGGCTCAGCTATCCACCGACACAATACCCCGCCCAGCTAATGGGTCATTGGTGACGACATCCTATTGCCGCATTCTACGAATGGCGGACGACAGCCAACTGGACAAGTCTGATAGGCCACTTAAGGAGCTGATTTCCACGACAAACAGAGAAGCACTTGGGCAATGGTGCAGTATATACCGAGAAGGATTCGACATTCCAATGACTAAACGTCGGAATGCTAAATTTGCCGATTTACGGGAATGGCTCATTACCCATCCGACTGCGTTACGGCATCTATTTGCCGTCCTTCCACACCCTGAACGGGAAGCTAAGGCGTGGCACATCGATGCTCTATTTAACTGGGGTGCTACCGAAGCACAACATGAACAAATTGGTACATTGCGCAGAATCGTTAACGACGGGATTCTCAGCGAGGGCGCCAAAATATGGTGTGCTGAATGGCTAGAGGCGGCTACCGATCCAACAATACACCCAAGATCGGCACAGGCGCTTGCTAGGTCCCCGACAAACTGGAAGTGGCTGGCTGGTCAGATATCACAGGTATGCTGCCGGACCCAACCTGAAGGGATGAGTGAAAATATTTGGAATCTCCTGCATGTTATTCCTTACATAGTCAATACTTAGGCTGACACTCCACTGGGGCGAAAGCTTCAGTTCCTCCGGCCCCTCACAGAAAATAAATGCACCTTGGTGCAACAATCGTTAGTGGAAGGTAGGGAGCAATCACCACTGACGAAAGCGTTCCGACAAGAACGTATTATGCTCACGACACAGGACTCGGATAAGCTGGAGGTATCCGGCATCCGTGACTGTGTCACAGTGGAGGAGCGAAATGGAGCTCCTCATGAAATGGTTTTAGGAAACGATATCAGACAATACTTCAAACGGCTTACAGACGACGTTAAAATCCAAGCTGTTCGGCAAAAATTCCAAGATATAAAGAGAGACCAAGCGAGACAAAGTCGGCACGTGGACAACAACTCACACGACGCAAAAAGAGCGGCACATGTACACTTCGATGACAGGACCTTGGTTTGGTCACACACAATGTCAACGGTCTAGGCACAAAAGAACAAGATATAATGCACCGGCTCAGCTTTCTTGGGGACGTAGACAACAACGGACGGGCGGATGTTACAATTCACCAAGAAACTCACGTAAAGCAGCATGAAATTTCTCGTGCGCAGCGTCGTTTTCCGACACGATGGGGGTTTCGAACAGATCATACCCAGCCATGATATTCGTTCTGGTCGCCATCAGACGATCGCAAAGGAGGTGTAGCAATTCTGATAGATCCGTACGGACACTTCACCAATGCACGCCCCATTTTTGAAGATCATTGGTCACATCACTTTACTGTGCGACAAGGTGAATTAGGTGGCGCACAAATGGTTGTGTGTAATTTCTACGCACCGCAGCGCTACGCAGCCAGGGGGCTTTTTACACTTGCTTACAATCGCTGCAATTCCCACAGAATACTTAGTTTTCGTCGGCGGGGATTTTAATTGCACACCTGACGATCACGCAGATAGAGGTTACTCTAGCACGGTGAACCATGCTTCACCTGCTCTACGGCAACTTACACATTACTGGGGGTATTCAATCCGATTGCAATAGACACATCATCACGGTGGGGTCCATGCAATCTTCAGCAACACCACACGGATACACACACTTTCCGATATCCTGTAGAAGGGGTTAGACAGGCGACGTCACGTTTAGACCGGTGGTATGTTTCAGCTGAAGCCATGAAGTAGATTTTGGCCTCCAATACGGCGGCTTGGAGTTTAGACAGCGATCACCGTGCTGTTAAACTGCATGCTCAATCACCGGACGACCCTATCAGAATCCATAGGCCGGCTCGCCTACATCTGGTGCCCCTTTTTGTATCAGATGCAGTTCACACGACCACCTCTAAACTTTTACAGGACTTCACGGCAAAACTTAAAAACAATACCGATTCGTCTTTATGTGATACCGCAGCTGAATGGGATCACCTAAAGGAAGACATTTCACGACAAACGCGAAAAACCATCCACATGTGTAAACGTACACGGCGTGGCACGCTTAAACAAAGGCTAGCTCGCCTTATTCGCCAACATCGGCGCTGCTGTGAAGAACAACTGGGTGCTCCAGCGTCAGTTGATTCCATAACCGATCAAATGGATGGACTCATGCTATTTCCTGTTCGAAGTGTTAAGGCGTCAGGACTACCCAGCAAAATTTATCAAAGCGATCGAAAGTTTGCATAGCAGTACGAAAGTTAGATTCCTGGCAAATGGGTCACACTCTAGGCAAATTCAAGTTATGAGTGGAATTCGACAAGGTTGTCCTTTGGCCCCAATGCTTTTCATTCTTGCGTTGGATCCACTCTACCGAAAGATCGATGGTTTTCTCGGGGCACGAGGCATAATCATTTAATTTGCGTCAGGTAGATTTGAACTGTGAGTGGCAGGTTATGCGGATGATACCGCTGCTTTTGTTCGTGATCCTGCGGACATCCCGGTTTTACTAAGACTACTGTACCAGTTCGGGAAAGCATCAGGTCTACACATAAACGCAGACAAAACCATGGTCATTGCGCTTCATCAACAAAGGCCTGTTGATTCTATGAATTTACCACCTCCATTAACCTTTCGCGACAGGGGTGAGACATGTCGGTATCTCGGAATACAAGTTGGTAGTGCTATTCCAGCGTCTTACACATGGGACAAAGCAGCACCAATTGGAAGGGCGACTACGACGACTGGCCTGCCAAAAGACCACCACCGTCGACCTACGGAGCATGATTACGGCGGCGATTATCATCCCCAAATTACTGTAGATTGCTCGTCATTCGTGGGCTACTTCTGCCGAAGTCAAACCCATGAACAAACGGATCAAAAATTATGTGTGGCACGGGGTACTCACTCATGAGATACAAGGATCACATGCGTGGCTGGATGCGGACTTAGCGGCGTTGCCCCGCACTAAAGGAGGGCTTGCTATTCCTGATTTACGTACGGAAGTGAACAGTATGGCTGCGACCGCTGTTAGCTCTTGGGCGGAGCTTGGATCACGAGATGGCCACATTGTTGGCGATATTCTATTTCACCTAGGACACGGAATGGTACCCGAAATATTCATCACCCCCAAACATTCGTCCTCGTCAACTGGTGTACGACGCCACCGCTCTTTATGAGCTACAATCCGTGCTATCTTGATGAATGCAGGAGCCCCGAAACCGCTCCCAGCGGAGGTCGGTGCCATCTTGGAGTGGATAACTGAATTTTATGCGATTGAGGCATCTTTGACACACTGGTCAAATGGACATCTACGAGTTGACTGTTCTTTGATTTACAATACCCTGGTACAATCTGAGCACTCCAAACATTTTTTACAAAACCTCATCATATCGAATGGCTTCCGTATGCAGATATGAACTCGCTTCACATTTACACAAAAGACGGGCTTCGCACAAAACTAGCAGCTGCTACAGGCCTAGTTAAACCGGGCCAATTTCTTCTACGAGACGTACTTGAATGAAGCCGATCCTCAACAAGAGAATTAGTCTTTACTTCACGCACGTGGTGACAACGGCCTTGACAGCAAAGTCTTTGGCGTTCGCATTGATAACAAATTTTCCTCGAATTATGATCGCAGATCCTTTCCCTACCGAAATTAGATTCACGGTGGCACCGGCAGATCACCCTGTGATTGTGACGCTACGGGGTAGTGAGGATACGGAAGGTATCATTAGCACGTCCTCCTCTGGTCCAACTTCTCATCAACAGGTGTCTAGTCTTGGTGAACTTTCACGCGCACTCACTAGGTTTCTGCGTCCCGACGTTGTTGTCCAGTCTGTTCACCCTCACCCAATGCTGAGCAGGCTTGTGTGCCTCTGGGTGGGTAGGAAAAGGTGGTCCCGGATTAGACGGGCTTATAAAGACTACGTAGCAACCACTGCCAACAATCGTGGTGCTGAGAAACTTACTCAGGTACGGAAAAAATGGGACGCTCACAGCGGAGAAGCTCAACAAGGGTTAGAACAACTCGAGTGGAAGCGTATTCGGCGTGTGGTGGGGCTGAATACCTGGGGAGAACAGCTACGTTTCCGCCTCAAACATTACGCCTTCTCACTCTTCGACATAACTCAAAATGTTTGGGGTTGCCCTCACGCTGCATGTAGAGGCGTCCGAAGTGTGAAGCTTTATCACGTGTTTTGGGAATACCCTTGAGCGAATCTCATATGCAAAGAGTTCTTGCATTCCTGGAAACAACTTGGTCTCCAGACTTCGGATATTGAACATGCTGTTTTCAGCTTGAAGCTTCCTGCTGTTCCACCTGGCATCTGGAAAATGGTGGAGGAAGGAGTGGAATCCAACTTACTGTCTAACACAATGTTTATGGAAATAGTCGCAGAGCTAACAGCGGGTTGTTGAAGAATTGGTGTGGCCATTCTCCTTAACGCAATCTGGCGATGGCGAATTCAACACTTTGATTCCCTCAATAATATTATCTCGGCGCATCACTCGATGTTATTGCAATCACATCTCCGTCAGGGATACAATACGGTTCAATATCGCGTATCTTACTCTTCTGGGAGTAAATACGGCGAGTTGGTGAGCACTATACTACGCAGGGCTCTGGCCCCCCGAGGAGGAGCTCCGCCTTTGTATCTCACGTTAGGAACTAACTCGATTTTCCTCCTGTTATTTTACGGAGGGTCACGTGGCAATCTTAGCCCAGGTGGAAGTGGAGCAATAGTGCTCTGCGCAGATGAACCGAACGCGTCTACTACTAGGGTTTGCTGGGTCGGACACACGTCTTAAGCCAATTCGAATACTACGAATAACGTTGCTGGCATCTTGGCCTCTTAATGTGACTACGTGCATGCACCAACTTGAAGTTCACCTCCTTACATATTATCGGGGATAGTAATATGATTATTCAGCAGCATCGAAGTCAACGGCCTCCCAGTGCGGCTCACCTGAAGTAGACCTATTGGAAATGCAGGCGGCTTGCTGACCAATTATATGTGATTAAATGGCACCACCATATTCGGGGATGCAATCAGATGGCGTAGCACTAGCTGACAGAGCAATGGACACACGGTGAAGCGTACAAGTGTGTCTTACAAATAACCCTCTGCAACAACAAAAGTGAAGTTGGGTGCTACAACACCTTGAAGGAGATGTCGCCTACTGGGTAGATAATATGGTTATCATGGAGTCGAAAGGAGTCGTAAGTGACATTCGTTAGGCGTCGCGCAACAAGGTTTCCTGGGGGAGTCAGAAGGACAGGGATAGCTAGTGAGTGACATAGGGACATACACTAGGATTGACATAGGAAGTCGTTAGCACAGCTAAGTGACATCAATGTACCTCACTGAGAAACGAAAAGAAACGATGCAGCTCGGTTTTGACAAAATATCGCCAAAGAACATCTTTTAAGTCTTTTGCCTAGCCTGGCCATTACATTATTGTCGGTTGCCGATAATACGGTGACAACAGAAGGTTGTTCAGTGAATTCGGAATAATACAGACTGCCAAGAGAAATAAGATGACTTGGTCAAAAACGCACGATACACAGCGCATTCGACAATACATGCGCGAGTTGGAAAGATCAGAAACGTATGTTGCATCAACGCATAAACGGGTTCTATCCGCAAACGAACGCTCAATTATACTTATATATATCACCGATAATGCAACGGATGGATCTACCAGATTACAACAACCATCGACACAAACTCCACTCCGATCAGCCCCAAGGAAGGCCCCAACTGCGATCACTCACACGAACTCCCTATGAAGAACGGACGTCTCCTCGATTCAAAACTCCCTCATCAATGCGATCTCGAGTACCGCGAGTCAGGACGCCGATGAATCAGCCACTACAAATATATCGAACCACCCCTATTGTCCAGACACTCCAAGACGACCTGTCAAAAACGACTTGGAAGATATTAGAGATGGCATTGACGGAGATGAAATATTCCCACACTGGGAGGGATATGTAGCGGAAGTGTTTGAAGTTGACGAAAATAGAAGTGTCTTCTCTGCTAGTGACAATGACTCGAAATACCGTAGTTGGGAGTTTGAGACGATTCCTGAACCTGATGAAACACCATTTCCTGACACCGACGATCCCAACTTTCCACAAGAAAAGAAAATGACAGGGATACGTAATTTAAATGCATCACTTGCGTCTCTTTTCGGGACTAACAACAACTAAATCCAAATGCAAAGTGTTTGTCTAGCATACTAGTGCGAGTTGAGCATTAATGTTCCACTATACCCGCTACTCCTCTTGATCCAGCAACAATAACACCCAAAAGCAAAGTCGCAGTGAGGTAGCGGTAGCAGCGAGAATACCCACCCCACAAACAAATCTGCAGCAAGTCATTGTGACATTGGAAGCAGTCGACAACTGTAGCAAGCATCAGTGCGGTAATGGCGGCAAGTTCACAGTGTGAGACAGGTTGTAGGATAATCACGCACTTCACAGATAGATGGGTGGCGGCAAGGGCGGCGAGAACCCCAACTCCACAGGCATCAGCTCCTGCAAGCCACGGAATGGCAGCGAGAACCGCCACTCCACCGACAAATCTACAGCAAAGCAGTGCGTGGCAGCAGTAGCAGCATGAACAAGAACTCAACAGGCGACAACAGCGCAACTTCACTAACACCGGCAAACCTTTCGGCAGCAAGTGTCGGTCTTCCTCCTCTCGTGAAAGAGATTTAACTGCATAGTCGTCACCCTGTAGCTCACCCATACTTGGTATTCCGTGAGGGCGGTTTTGATAGCCTAGAGCTGATTCGGCGATTGGTTCATTGCTCCGTAGAGCCATGCATCCTTTGCTGCAGATTGCGCCAGTCCGTGGATTACTGCCGGTAGGTCTTTGCCTAACTCCCGTTTGAATCATTTAAAGGGTAGTTTCTTAATAGTTTGCAGAACGTGCTTGTTCGAGATAAGATCAAGTACGGTCCAGGGGAATTTATGACATCTCGGATGCGCATAGAATAACACGGTACTGCCTGGCCTGACCAATTCAGCAAGATCATCCTTCACCCTGGGAATTAAGGCGGTTGCTGTGAATTCCCTCAGGCTCTTGCTCAATGACGATGTACTCTCTCGGTCCCCCCTCAGTCGGGGTTTCTGTCTCGTCACTCAGTTCCCCTACCACCGTTCCTGTTGTTCGGACTGTCCAGCGGTAATCTCCTTGTAGGTTGGAGGGATGACGAATCCTAAGCGCCGTCAGGACTTGCTTTGCTTGTTCTATCGCTAACAGCGGCGACCCGCTTATGATTGCGAGATCCCACCGGCACAGCTTTGGCCTGGCGTGATGCTTGCTCGTTCCCATCTGCTGTAGAATCATCATTGTGTTTGATTGTCATCCTGTCCGTTGGATTTCCAGCTGTGCTATTATGCATGCCCGTAAAAGAGGATATTGTTTTCTTGTAAGCTACCTTCGGTGGACAGGGGCTGTTCTGCCACTCATATGGTGGACAAAAAACGGTGGTTCATATCTCCACGTTTTTTGTCGGGAACAGTGGTTTGTAGAGACAAATCTCGAGCTTGTTCTTGTTTCGCCTGCTACTCGCGTGAATACCGACTTCCACTAGTTCTTTCCGATCTGCGTCTATCAGACCTCGCTCCGCCTTGGTTGGCTGAAGCCGTGATCCCAATTCCATTTGTAGTTTTGCCCCGGGTTTGGTGGATTGCCTTTGGCCTGTTGCTTTTGGAGTGATTACACTGTTGAACTTTTCTACACTTGCACGAAATGCCCATGCTCACCACGCCGCAAAATACACATCCTATGCTTGGATCAACCGAAGTACAGCGTGCTCCAATCGTTGCGCTTTTACCGCCACTTCAATCGAAACAAATCCGACGCCTCCTGCTCCCCGTGGGGTATATAGTAGTCCTGAGTTGATCTTGTTGCTACTGGAGTCGGGGTTGGTGGTGTGCCTCCACAAAAATTGCTTTGCATATTTCGGACCTCAGTTCCCGCCCACGCCGGGATGTCGAAAACTGCTGCCGTGAATAAAATTGCGGGCAGCATGGTCACATTTAACAGTGTGACCCGTAGGCCTACACTGATTGTCATATGCGTTGCAGTGGTTAAGCTTCATCGCACGTTTCGGATTCTCAAAGCCCAGTTCTGATCCGTTAGGTTGGACGTTCCGATTTCGTTGCCTAGATACCGAGTGGTGTCCCCATGCTGCAGTATCGGTACCGCTAGAAATCGTTCAATCTCTATCGCCGTATTCAGGAAAATCAGCTTACTCTTCGCCGGTTGGACATGTAGTCCAGAAAGTTCGTCGTACCTTTTGATGATTGACATCACCCCTGCGAGTTGATGGGCCTTTTGGAGAAACAACATGGAATCGTCTACAAAAGCTGAGAGGCGGTGCGTCGTGTCAGGCTTCACGGGAACAATGATCCCTTCTACCTCTGGGGCTTGCAATAATACCAGCGCCAGTACCTCAGCCGCGATCAAGAACAGTAATGGCACCAACGAACATCCCTGGCAAATACCGGATCTGACTTCGACCTGTCTCGACCTTTCCCCCTAGACCGCAAAGCTGGCTGTCGTACCCTGATGTAGGCGTTGAATGAGTGTCACAAACGTTTCCGCGAAACCAAACCGGAGAGCGCAATTAACTGAATTCTCAGTCGACTGTGTCATATGCTATTTTGAAATCTAGAAGCACAATGACCCTGCTCATTTCCGCCAACCGTTCGGGTTCCACCTCTGCCGTTTCCAACATGGTGATCATCATCATCACCATTTTTACCATTTACCGTACATGTACGAAACCTTGTTGGGTAGACCCTATCAGTTTGCCTAGCATTTGTTGTAATCGTGTTGCTACGATCTTAGTCAAGATCTTGTACCCAGTCGGGAGCAGAGAAATTGGCCTGTAATCCATGACGTTGACGGAGTCTCCTTTCTTCCTGAGTGGAATAATGAGCGCTTCCAAGAACGATGCAGAGGGTTCTCCTCCTTTGAGCAGTTCGTTTCCAAGTGCTACCATTGCAGGAGCTATCCAGAGGTCCGAAAATACTACCGTATTGTATTGGAAGGTGAAACAAAAATTACAATTTGGAAGCTAGGAATATTACCGCAAATTTATTTATCTATATATAACAAACTAAAGGTAAAGCGAGCTGGTAGTGCGGTGTGACTCTACGCCAACACGCTCCATGAAGATGATGGCATTCGCAATCAACGTCTCGATATTTACATGTACCTGTGCAATCTTAACTCAAGACTCCAAAATAAAACTTGTAAAATGACTTTCCTGTAGTATCGTCACACATACACGGTGAATGCTGCGTTTCATGTCGGCTGAGAAAAGCTGAAGGCTGTCGATTGCTAGAAGGAAACGATGGTTTTCCGGATGGCACAGAGTTGAACGGCTAGACAAGACGCCGAGGCAGAGCAAATAAGAAACGATTGCCGAGGTAGTGTAGGACTGCATTCATTTCCGATTTAGCACCTAGCTCGTCACAAAACCTCGACGCTTCAGCTCTCCGGTTACCAGTGGCTCCAACCAGCCTCTTTGCGTGCCTGAAGCCCGATGTTATGGGAACACCTTCATTTGCGTATGGGGAGGACGTCAGCGATATGTCCGGAGACGTGATAAGAGTGTGTTGCGTATCAAGTGGCCGCTGGCGGGACTTAGATTCAGCTGAAATGGAAGTGTCAAGCGTAGATTTCAAATTGAGGGAAGTTACACAGGAAGATGCTACGAGCGGCATCGGTACTTATATCGGAACGAACATTTGTATAGCTCGCGCACCGCAGGGATCAGCACGCGACTGAGATTATGGTGTGGTTGTCGGCTACACATGGGAAGAGAACACGGCAGCAGGGTTGCTGAACGTTATTTTCGATGGAGATGCTATCGACATTCCGTTTGATGAGGACGCATTCGTGGTCCTGACACTGGTAGCTTACGCGTTGCGGCCTTGCCAGCAGATCGAGGTTTGCAACGTAATGTTCCGGGAGATGAGGGCGACGCATGATAAAGTGACAGACCACTTTAATGGCAGAGGTCGTAATGAGACACGAAACTCTAAGAAGATCGATGGTGCGGTCTCTCAAGGAGTGCTAGATGAGCAGCAAACTATTTTATTGTTTGATGTTACGACGTCGCGTGTTTTGTATGTGCCAATTAGCTACATACTTAACTTTGCATACTATTCCGGGCGTCGTCGACGGATACCAGCCCACATCAGCATCGGTGACTCGGTTTTCGATGGAGCAGCGGCACCAGGTACGTCCAGGTCACAGGCGGTCGTTACGACTTCGCAACGTGCCTCTCACCCGAGCGCGGCGGCACTTAGCCGCCGCCGAGGTGCCAGGCGGTCGCCTATTAGTGAATCTGGCGTTCGTTTACATGGTGAGGGTGATGCCCCGGAAAACGCACAGCAGCAGAGTAATGCTGACATTTTGAGAGACTCAAACGAGGATAGTGAGACGGAAGAAGGTACTCATACGCGCTCAGAGCCGGTAAGCTTACCTCTTCGCCGATCAGCGTCGGAAGCGCTAGACCCCAATGTGGCACGGTTGAAGCGACTGCGTCACAGTCTCGCAGCCGAACCGGAGATTTAACAAGAGTCGGATCAGTTCATTTTATTTCGAGAGGCTGGATTGGCCCAGGGTAGCACGAGTAGCCTTCGTAGAACGGGTCAACCGACCAATGCTTCAGGTGATGGAGGGGCCGAGTTTCGCCCTTCGACGCTGCAGTCAGCTATTCACGACGCGCTCGTTAACGGTACGTATGCAGGTATGAATGGCCAACTCTTATTGGAGACTGTTCAATCTGAAGCTGAGGAGTTTGCTTTTCTGCCACACCCCACGACTCTGCAATGTGTGTATGATTGGAAGTTCGGGATTAAAGATGGTCTTTCAGCTATGCACTTTGCGCGACTGAATCGTGATACGAAGAGGGCGCGATCTCGGAAAAATTATATGAATAATTTTTTGAGAAAGAACCTGTTGCGAAAACCAGCAGTAGCATCGACCGCTAGCGACGTTGTTGATGCGATCGACGTCTTGACCGCGTTCTGTGCGACGTTATTTGATCCACTGGTGATGAATCTACTTCAAGCTGCGCGGCAAGTTTTGCTCACTCCTCGTATTCAAGCCGATCTCCCGGACGCTGCAGCAATTTCATCATTGGTTCAGTATGTAGATGAGCGATTTGAACGTTTTCGCACACGTATTGCAAGGCGCGATCGCGTCGCGGCAGCAGCGATTTCAGCCGAATTTTCCACGGAGCACGTGCTGTACACTAGACTCGTGCAATCGGTTATTCAGCGTCGTGTTGCGCAACTAGCTCTCGAGACAGGGTCTACTGGTGGTCACTACAGAGTTCAAGGGCGACAATCCAAGGACCGACACGTTCGTTTTACGGGGAATGTGCAACGAAAACCACAGCGCGTAGTTCCCCTCGAAGTTCTGGTAGCGCTACCTAAGCACCAAAGGAATGCGCTCTGCATGAAATACATTTCCAATCAGGGCTGCAGAAGTCAGGGAACTTCGTGTATTTACGAAGATCGAGCTCATTTTAAACCTGCTTCTCTCCCGGCGGTTGTTCGAGATCACTTTGAAAATCATTTTGGGGGTCTTCGACAATCTATGCCTAACGGAGAGGCTTCGGAAGCGTGAAGGTGCCTGGAAATGGAATTGGGACGTTGTGTCTCTAGGCCGGGACATAATCCTACTAACCTGTGCTATACAGTGGACAAATACAGCGAGATCACTCTTGTGGATCATTCACGCGAGAGTGAGATTAAACCTCTCCGTTATTCAGGCGGAGAGGGCAGGATCTATCCTTTCAACGGGACTAAGCTCGGGGGCGAGATTACTCCCCTCGGGGCAGCTGATGGCATGGGCGAGACAACTCCACTTGACCAGACAAAACACGAGACCGAGAGTAGTAGTACCCTCGGGTCTTCTGATGACAACAGTGAGATCACTCCTCTTGACCAGTCAATATGCGTGGGCGAGTTTACTCCCCTCAGGACTTCGTGCGAGATCACTCCAATTGGTCGGGAACAGAACGAGGGGGAAACTGTTTTTATAAGAATCGGCAGACACCAGCCTACAGTATCAGAGTGGTTGCATTCGCGTTGTGGGTATGGGTCGGATGGATTATTATCCGACGGAAGACGTGCGAATTATTCGCACAAAGAGGCCCCGTCTCGAATGCGGCCGAGTTCACCAGGTCCCAATCATGCACCAGGTTGGCACAATTTCTTGCCCATGCCTGACGTGGTTTCAATCAAACACTGTTGGCACGCACTCGTTTACTATCACATTACCGAACCGATGTTTGGGCTGGTTTACATCACGCGCTGAGCCAATACGAAATTCAGTTGCCCGAAGCATGCTCTCATTTTCGTGTTGTAAACGGTTCAAAACATTACATGCTGGACACGTCCAAGCAGCAGGCGTATAGCCTCTTCTTAAGACGATTTCGATTGCAGCTACCTGCCTTCGTACAACTTCTCCGTGGCGAGACGAGAGCAGATCCGCGCCCAAATAAGGCGCTTGAGATTCTAGATCACTTTCCCGGGTGGAATACGTACCCGCATAGAGCTGAGTGGGAATATATCGTGCGAGGCGGAGTAAATTCGTCTTGGCGGCACCCGTTTGGTACACAGAGATCTCCACCCACAAATCATCCGTCGGCACAACCCGCGCTCAACATGCTGATCTAAGGAATTCGTAAAGGTCAAGATCAGTCTCGATATCTTGTGCTGGACATTGGTTTGTGCGGGTTGCTGAAGGACGTGACGTGCAGACCTTTTGGTGCGGTTCAGAAGGGGAATCAACCTCTTTTGGTTGATGCGAGAAAAATTCACGACCTCTCTTATCCCCAACAATGCTCGGTGAACGACAATTCTCCTGATGATTCCACAATTCCTGTAAAATACAGTGGTGCAGCAGTATTGGCACGACGGATACTAAAGGTGGAGGACCAGGAGCCAGGCGCTGTGAAAATGTTGACGGGAGATGTTCACGGGGCATTTCGCAATGTTCCTCTTGCGGCGGTAGCAGTTGGAAGATTTTCAGGGACAATACCAGAACTGGGTGTGTTTATTATCGATCTTGCGTGTCCATTCGGTTGGACAGAGTCACCAGGTCATTATTGGTCAGCGGGAGCAGCGATCAATCATATTCACAGTGTACTAGGACCTGACGCCTGCAATGAACAAAACTTTTCACAATGTTTCGTGAAGGGACTGAGCTTGGCCTCACATGGAACTTAAATACCATGTCGCTTTCAATTCCACCCGACAAGATTTCTAAGGCCATCAGGAGACTCCAGGACATGTTATCAGGGAGTACGACAACTCGGAGGGAATTGAATAAGCTTCTTGGGAGCTTACGGCATGTTTCTACGTCTATTCTGTCCGCCAAGCCCTTTTTCCAAAGAATAGCATTGCTGGTTAAAACTGCACCGCGTTTCCGCGCGGTGACAGCGATCGATGATGTCCGAGACGATATACGCTGGTTCCTCTCCATCTTGGCTGTGGATCGATTGAATTTGGTACCGCTGGTCCGATTTTCCGAGCAACAAGATCCCGAATTTTACATTACGATGGATGCAAGTGATCGGGGTCTGTGCGCCGTATTCCCGTTGCAAAAAACAGTATTTACAAGTCGAATATACCCAAAGAGAACGAGAGGAAATTGCAGCGTTCAACACGACTGGAGAAGGTGATTTCGGAATTAATCTGCGCAAGTTGATGAGCACCATATTCGCGACAATAGTGTGAGGGTCATTATGGGAGGGTTCAAGTACATCTACCCCTCGACATGTTCGGTTCCCAATTGATAACACGACCGCGGTTGCATGGTGCAATAAGAGAACGAGCCGCTATCCATTCGCGCAATTATTTCTGCGATTACAGGCACTTCTTGACGTTCGCTACAACTTTTACAGCTCGGCGGGTCACATTGCCGGAGAGACCAATATCATAGCAGATGCAGGGTCACTGGCGTGGCAATCACAGCAAA